CAGGTTCGAGTTGCGGGCACGTTTTTTCTGACACTAGCGGATCAATAAGGTCACCAAACTATCCGGGTCAATATAACAACAGGGCATATTGTACTTACTATGTCAAAGTTCACGGAGCACAACAGATAACATTCACGGTGGCCTATTTTGACACCGAAGAATTCAAAGATGTACTTGAATACGGAAGTGGAGACATAGTGGACTTTAATCAAGCTATTGGGTCTTTTGAGGGCAATTTAACTGCTCGTAATCAACTACCTGATCCAGTGACAATTCTCTCTGACCATGTATGGTTCCTTTTTACTACTGATCGTAACATCGCAATGAATGGATTTGAAGTGAATTACGTTGCAGGTATGGTTTTCAGACAGAGAGGTTCCTGCCATTACTGGGCAATGCTGCAGCAAGAGTATCGAAATATATCTCCCATGATGCATTCAACATGTGCCGAATAACATGCCCAGTATCGCAACATTTTATTTTATCTCCAACAATGCATTGTTTATATGTGTTACATTTTAATTGAACTTTTTTTGACAAATCAAAATTGCAAATAATTTATGTAATTATATTATCATTACTCGGAGAATAGTATTTATTTATTTATCATTACTTGAAAGATGCACTCAAAACACATTTACAACGCACTAATCATATATTATAATATTTGATAATATTAATAGATGGAGATGACTGCCATAATTCCCCATGTCTTAACGGTGGCACGTGCAATGACGGGATAAACAGTTATACTTGTGACTGCATAGCTGGTTTTGAAGGAATCAATTGTGAAATTAGTAAGTAGAGATTTAGGAAACTGTTTCTATGGAGACCAGAGTTTATGTGGACACTTGATTATTCCTTCTCAAATACATGATTCTAAGTATTAGTTCTCAATATATCTAAACTATTTTTTGTTTATTAATTATAATTGTATAATTACAGATATTAATGAGTGTGCGAGCAGTCCTTGTCTCAATGGCGCTACGTGCCAAGACGGCATCAATCGGTATACCTGCATATGTCCATTGGGGTACGCCGGTATCAATTGTGATATTGGTGAGTATTCCTACCTTCATTCACTGATTCTATTCTATTCTATTCTATTCTATTCTATTCTATTCTATTCTATTCTATTCTATTCTATTCTATTCTATTCTATTCTATTCTAAATGCATTAATTATTCACTGGGTTTTAATTTCACTATTTGCGCCGCTGACAAGTAAAATCCACTAAATTAAATCTATGTCAACATGTCAAATAACAATAAAACTCATTGTTTCCTTGAACAATTCATGAAATTAAAACACAGTGAATATGCTCAAAACATAAAAATAGTGAAATAAAATGTCAGTGAAAATAAAAAGGTTTTCAGTATATAGTATTTAATTTGGTGACAAAGAAAGTAATGGAATGCTGTAGCAGTCTGGCAAATTATCTGAAGTGATCAAAGTCTTTAAGAACTTTAACCCAGGAAATAAATAACAAATTATTGGTTTACAGTATGTGTTTCTGTATACAGTGGACAGATATTGTATGTATTTCAATGTGTTTGTACGTTTGCAATACAGATATTAATGAGTGTGCTAGCAGTCCATGCCAGAATGGCGGCACATGTACTGATGGCAACAACTTTTACACATGTGCGTGTTTGCCTGGATATGCAGGTGTTAACTGTGAAATAAGTAAGTATTGAACCATTTTCTTCAATCTTATTTAGGTTTTCATCAATGTTTCATTAAGTCATTTATGAGTTCATACTGCTTACGATCTGACACATCTATTTTTACATCGCAGCCACAGAGAACTAATTGTATATATTTTATACGATCACATTGCAATTCATGAAATTGATACCAGCAATGTCTCAAATCACTTGTTGTCCATTTAATATAAACAACACACTGACACGAACGTCAGCTTATAGATTGAAACAATAAGTATAAACCCATCTGTTTTAAGCTTATTCAATCCGACGATGGGGTACATTAGCCAGGTTAAAAAAACAGTGGAGAGAGCGGATTAATCTGTATGGAAAAATGAGTACGGGGGAGGGGGGCTTAATTGTGTAAGAAAATGGGATATTTTGACTTAAAAAGTTTCATTGTGGCCACGTCTTTTGGGGGATAGTCATTATGAAATTCCTCACACGATTATAAATGTCAACCATGTGACGGTACAAACAGTTGTGTTGGGTTGAATCGCGTGGTTGGTTGCAACATACGTGTACTATATGCCGTTTTCGTGTGAAGGGAGTACTCTCGGAGTCGAATCACCTGCGTGAAATACGTAGGTATAACGATATTATTCACAGCGTATGTTGACACGTGTATGAATAAGATACCCTAATTGCACTAGACTTACACTTGTTTGTGTTATTTATTAACTCCTCAGATATTGACGAATGTTCTAGTGAACCTTGTCAAAATGGCGGAGCGTGTTTTGACGCTATCAATTCTTATCTATGCGTTTGTTTAGCTGGATGGACTGGCAATAACTGTGGAATTAGTATGTATTACTTGTCATTGTTCATTTATTGTTGAAATTAGTATGTATTACTTGTCATTGTTCATTTATTGTTTTTTAATAGTTGTGCCATACAAATCGTCTCCCTTTGTTGAGTTGCAAACTGTGCCATTGTGTGTATATCCCGTGCATGACATTTGCATTTCTTTTCTTCTTTATTTTACCAGATATCAACGAGTGTGCCAGTTCACCATGCCAGAATGGTGGGCAATGTGTCGATGGTATTAATAGTTATACATGTGTATGTTTACCAGGATTTGTGGGAGACAACTGCCAGACAAGTACGTATGACATATAACCACCACTTACTAGGAAAAAGAATCATTCCCGTTCTCCATTTTGAATAATTAATTTCAAGGGTTACCTATTTCAGCGTATGAAATATATCATTAATCTGCTAACATAATCTGTATTACTATAATCATACCGATAAATTTTAAGTTATTTAGAAAAAGTAGAACATTGAAATTGTCATTAGTATCCCAAATGGTTAGACAGATTTGACAGTTACGGTATGCACCAGAATGATGATAAAACTTTATCACAATATTCAATTTCAACCCACAGTTTAGGTTATGACATGTGCATAATGATAGTAAAGATATCTCTGCTCAATCACCCTAAGATTATTGATTGATATATTGCCAATTTGAATCATATACATACTGATTGTATTGTAATTCCAAAGAGGCAATGTTCTTGCTTTTCATTTCATAATGATTACAATGCCTCTTTGCTGACAATTACGTAATTCATTGTAGATATTAACGAATGTGCCAGTTCACCTTGTCAAAATGGTGGAATATGCAACGATTTGGATAATGGTTTCACATGTCAGTGTGCACTGGGTTATGAAGGTGAACTATGTCAAACAAGTAAGTATTTAGGTGGTATATATATTGATTGTAAACGACGTATGTCGCAATGCCTGACATGCCAGATATTTACAGAATTGAAGGCATACTACGTGAAATGTTTTAAACGGTTATTCTTATTCAAGTATAAATATAAAGTTATCCCATACTAAATAGTATGATATACCTTTATATACTCATGTATTCCAATGATCTCATGATTCAATTGTAACATTACAGAAGTGAATACTGTTAAATATAAATACTTAATTGTGTCTATTTAGATATAAATGACTGTCTGAATACACCATGTATGAATGGTGCTACATGTATTGATGGAATAGCAAGCTTTCGATGTGTCTGCGCTCCTGGCTGGACTGGAACAATTTGTGATATTAGTAAGTGATCATATATTGTATTATATCGTATGCAATGTTTTAACATTTTTCTGAAAAAGAGGGTGCCTGTAATGCGCAGATGGGATTATCTCTCAACGTTAACAGAACAAACTTTAGACTGGTATATTTCTACATGAGATTCCATACAACGAGTTTAATACAACAGGTCTATTACAAATCTATTAAATTCACTCTAAGGTGTTGAAAACATTACTGTACATGGGAATAATTGTATTCAATAATGCAATAATTTGTGTCACTGCAAGCAACGTTTTATAAATAATGCTATAATAAAAGGAAGATCATAGAACATTATTAAAATATTCTTGAAAATACTTTGTACTACCGTATTTGCTTTATTAAAAGTCTGTGTGTGCAAGTGGGAAATCTTGTGCTCTTGTCTCATCCAAGCGTACCCCTAATACTAGTATAAATTATGTGTTTACAATAGAGCAAATATGGTACTTGTAATGAGTATATGTTTCTTTCACTAGACATAAATGAATGTGCCAGTGCTCCATGTTTGAATGGCGCGGTTTGTAACGATTTAGTTAATGGATATACATGTACTTGTCAAATTGGTTACCGAGGAACTAATTGCGAAGAAAGTAAGTCTTTACCATTTTAGCAACTAAAATAAACCAGATTATGTTATATGACTATGATTTATGTATAAATATCATCTTCTATTTTTGACCTTATGATATCAGAATTTGTAATACTAGTCAAATATCTTTCCTCTAAACCATGTATCTATTTAACACGTCTTGTCTTTAGATATCGACGAATGTAGCAGTTCACCTTGTCTAAATGGTGGAGCCTGTGTTGATGGTGTTTCACAATACACATGCACATGTCTTCCAGGATGGACTGGAGTCCGTTGCGGAACAAGTGAGTACGATTCACATCAATATTCTTATCGTCACCATGCCAACAGTGATCCTTACATTCTTTTTATTAATAATTAATAATTATATCTTTGTATGTCCAATTGATTATTTTATTTTATCTTCAATTGAGACTACATGTTTTTTTCTCAAGATAAACCAAGTGATAATTTAAAAACATTGAAGATGTCTTTTGATTTTACGATGAACGGCTTACCAAATGTACATTATTTATTGGCATAACACTCACGGGTCATCCCATTACATCACTTGATTCACCAAGTGCGAACACATTAAATTCATTTATATTAAACTTACGAGGTCATCATATTTCATCACATGAACCAATGAGTTTCAGTGTCACTTTATGTATATTTAAGATAATACACATCTTAATATAATTAAATGGAATGCATTGTTGATACTTTCAGATATAGATGAGTGTGCCGGTGCTCCATGTCTTAATGGTGGTCAGTGTATTGATGGTATTAATTCATTCACATGTGTATGTGCAGGGGGTTATACTGGAGTGATATGTGATATCAGTAAGTATGGCAACATTTCTCATAAGCGTTAAATCATTCAATGTAATTCAATTACAATATAATATAAATTATTTATGTCTTACTTAATCCAGAATGATGCAGACTGTGATTATTATTACGTAATTGAGTGGTTATACTAAAGACCATACAATATCATATCATCAAGAATTATTTTTGATTTTTAAATTCAATAATGATGTAACTACTGCTCTACTTTACAACACAGACTTATTGCTATTATTACATTTGTAATTATTAATAGCATTTTTCTTTTTTTCTTTAAGATATAAACGAGTGTGCCAGTGCGCCATGTCTACACGGTGGTGTATGTAATGATGGTGTTAATGGATATACATGCGACTGTGTACCAGGATGGACTGACCTTCATTGTGGAACTAGTATGTATAGGTTTTAGGCAATCATGAACAAGACAGCAATTGACATTGACATTGAGATTATAAGCGAATAATTTGTGTTCATGTGAAAGCCCGTTAAAGGTGGGATACTAAATTCCGATCTGAGGAGAACAATTTTTAACTACATCACCTTCTCCCTGTCTCATAAAGGCACGAAAAGTAAACAAGGCAGTAATAGAGCACCGAATTAGTTTCTACAAAATTGTACATTATATCAATAACTTTAAAACCCGAAATGTGTGAAATGTGTACGCCATTAATGCCTTTATTATTTGTATCCTAAATTCAGATATCGATGAATGTGGCAGTAGTCCTTGTCAGAATGGTGCACAATGTATTGATGCTATAGCGTATTATTCATGTGTTTGTCTAACTGGCTACACAGGACACAACTGTGAAATCAGTAAGTTATATTGACTTTTTACAGATTTATACGTTTTGTGAATTTGAATAGTAATCATTTTAGTAACTATTTGAGTACATATACTTAGGTCAGTGAATTTGTCAGTGATATTAGTAATATTTGATTTGTTTGTTGCAAAATAGTGTATATTCATTACGTGTCCTATTACTGTAACTAATTTGCTGATACTGTTTACACGCAGATATTGATGATTGTGATCCAAATCCTTGTCTCAATGGAGGTGTTTGCAATGATGGTATTAATTCATATACTTGTAATTGCCCACCAAACTGGACTGGCGAAATATGTGAAATCAGTGAGTCTACTTGTCTAAGTATTATGTAGTTATATAATAGTCTATATTTAGTGTAATCATCACTACAACCATTGCGCAAGAAACATAACTTCATAATTTTAGCTAATAAATATATTTGGATTAATATTGTATTATATAGCCACAGATGTAGTAGGTACTAAACCTTATATCTTGACTCAATCGTTTTCGAAAATTGAATAATTATCTAGTAAGCTTTCATATGATATGACGAACATGATTTAAACAAGAAAACTTCCTAACTTGATTTGTAAACTTGATGGTGGCCATATAAGCTTAACACATTCACTGAACCGAATTAACTTTCGGAAAATAAATAAAATAAAATAAATAAATAGGATAAGGAACTCAAATCTATCTCAACGTTGGATTTGACATACATTCCTCATCTACCCTGGAAGTATATAGAAATAAAATAAAAATATGTTGTAACAAATGTTACACGCCTTGTATTTTCACTAATATTATATATACTTTTATTTGACAGATGTTAATCCATGTGACCCTGATCCATGTAAAAATGGTGGACAGTGTATAAATGATGGAATGGGTGATTACACGTGTCAATGTCCACAAGGATATGCTGGAAGAAATTGTGAAATCGGTATGTAATATTGGATCATGTAGATTGTCAATTAAGTCAGCCAAAATTTGATCTGATATTATAAAAATTAAAATTTGTAATAAGCATTCAACTCAAATGCAATTTCAAGTTATTTGTTTTAGCCAAACAGAAGGGGAATACGATGCGCATCGTTCACAGCCATAATAATAATATATAAAGTGCCAAAAATCACTGGTCTAGCTTCCTTATATTTACAGTATATATCTATTAGTGCGACTCAGATCTCATATTATTTTTCAATATAAATATCACAAATATAATTTATATAAATGATATTTTTTTACATTCTGGATGTGTACATCGCAGGTTAACTGAAGATTTCTGTCAGTATTTTAGTTCATTCTACATTTGAAAACATCACATACACAAAAATACATAAAAATCATGTTATTAACTTTGTTTTATAACTTTTCTCACCATACTCGGTTCGTAGAAAATTGGTGTACAAAGCGGAGTAAAAAAACATATATTGTCTGTCTTAGGGCGATAGCATTGTTCTTTATGACAAAGATATATCTCAATATCACAATTTTTTGGCATGTGACATATGGTGATAAAAATTTTAAAATTACATTATTTATATTGGGATTTTAATGACTGAAAGCACAGTATTTGGCTGTTTTTATCAGACTTACAGTTAATTAAAACAAAATTGCATTTAATAAATAATACAAAAACGATTTTGATTATAGACAGATTTTGACACGGAATAATTGTCAATGCTATATTCACTAAACTGTGCGCAAGGGTATGGAATGGTTTATGAATCGTAATACACCTGAGAAATGGATTTTCGTGTTTTAAACCAGCACGTTCATTCACGTTTTATTTATGATTTCAGATATTAATGAATGCTCAAGTCTTCCATGTAAAAATGGCGGTTCCTGTATTGATAACAAAGGATCATACTCATGCGTATGTCGTGAAGGTTTTATCGGATATGACTGTGAAACAGGTAACACGTTTTAATAAAGTAGACAATGGATTGCTGTACACGAATATATATGTATATAGTTTGGAGATAGGACAACCCTGTCAGACATGTTTTGTAACATTGTTTGCTCTGTGTGTCATATGATAACAAATGATCAGCCAATTAATCTGTCAGGCAACAATTCATCAAAAGATGTATTGCAATAGATATATGTCGAGTTAGTAATATCGCTTTCCCTGGTTTTTCATCATGATGAAGTTTTGTGAGAATAGATGCGAGTTAGTAAAAGTCAAATCTTGCTTGGTCCAACGAGAATATCGGAGTGTGTTCCATGTTTCCCTGAATTAATCGAGTTTTTAGATTCTTACAGTGTTGGACTCGCTTAATAAATTTACTCATCAGCCTATTTTAACATTAAACTTTCTGATTGTTCATATTGCAGCTACATTCTGTGATCTGCAAGGCACGTGGTATAACCAACTCGGTGATGAAATCAGACTAGATAAAACACCAACTGGTATGCTATTGGGTGGTTACACATCTGCATATGAAAGGGCACTCAATTATGATGCAGGTAAATACATATAGTGTTGAAATATATAATTTATTCACATATATTCATACCCAGTAATGACAATGAATGTTACCCCGAGACATTTGATTTATATAGGTAGCCCTGATGTATGCCCTGATTTTTAGTAAAGTAGTAAATTATGTGTATACATATATTTACATCAAATAACAAGTTTGGTTGCTGCCATATATAAAAACATCAGACATAAAACTAATAATCAAATTATTGTAAAATTTACATACACGATACATACAACAGATTTGCATACAACATTGTATATATAAATAATATAACATTTTAATGAATCAGTCATAAACTGTAAAGTATCATACATGGTATGGCTGGGATAAAGAGACCGAGGTACACAATAGACTCAAGTGTACACGGGCGTCTTTTCATCCCAGTAAATCAACACCGATGTTTATACGTATACTAAAACAATAAATATGACCCGTACTTATATCTAAAATCCTGAAAGCGGGTATATTTCATCAGCAGATAAATTGTGCGTGGCGGGTGGGCTGTTACTGCTAATCACCGGCTGATTCTAGTCATTTTAAAGGATGATTGCCATCGCGTCGTACATAACGCGTGTAAAATACATTGTTTGTTTTAGAAAATCGAATATGCGCTGCGCGACAACCACTGCCCTTTAATTTTTGTTTCACATTCTTCTCCGTTGGTATACTCTTATCAATAAATTATATGTGTCATCTTTTTTTTAAAGGACCTAATTTGGTAGTTGGCTATTGTTCATGTCAAGCTGAAGATTGTTCTGGATTTCCAACATTTGGTTTTACTGTTGTTTATAATAATGGTGACCTAACTACAAGTTGGACTGGTCAATGTCATCTGTGTGATAGTGAAGAAACTCTCGAAACTACATGGATTTCAACTGATAAAGCCAATGCCTGTCGTGAGAGCTATGTCGTAAATAAGTAAGTACTTGTACAGTGTGAATACGGCTGCCATAAAAACATTTTAGTTTCCAAGAAACCACAAATTTTTCTATCAGAGAGATAGAGGCACTGTGAATAAACTTTCTTTCCCATACTCATTTCAATAAGTCGCGCCCTCAACGACGAAGCGCTTGTAAGCAATTTCATTCAAAAAGATTATGTTTGATCTTGCAGTTTTTCGTAATTTGTACTAAGGCAAATCCCATTACCCCGCGCCCTCAAAGAACAGCTTCTTTGATGGCAATAACAAAAAAAAAAATATTAGCGACGATTTGAACGGTGTTCCAGCACCGAAGACACGCTTTATCGTCAGAGGGCGTGATTTATTAGAACGGTGCATTAGTAGTGAGGGTTCTGTGACGTAGCTACTTTCTTGATCTGTATTCATCTATCAACAGGGAATCGTGATTATAATGGGAAAGTTAATCTGGTTATGGGATTCTCGGTTCCACTCAGCAGTGGCCATTTACACCAAGCAGCAACACATGTGTTCAGTATTTTGCTATAAATCAAACATTTAGATGCAACAATATGACATTGTCGAACGTTAAAGAAACCAAATAACCTATGCTGTCTATAACTCGAAGTAACACTGTTAATTAAAGTTTGAGTTACAATTTGGGTGTGGTTTTGCAAAAGTGGGCGTGGTTTCTAAAATATGAGCGTGGTCCTTTTTATAACTCGATGTTTTCGTGACTCGATGTTTATAACTCGAACAATTCAGCATCTCTCAAAACCACAACAAAATAACTCATATGGATCAAATAAACTTTTACGTCTGCGAATGTTGTTATTAACAATACGTCTGTCTTATAAATCGCGCCCTCTAGCGCCAAAACGCTTCTTTGACGTAATTAGGCGACAAAAAGCTTTTCAGAACGTTGATATCGTGTAGTCGTCCATAAATCAAGTTTAGGTTTTATCAGAAATTGAAGTGTTTTTGAGATAACGTACGACTATACAACCAAACACAGCTGTTTATATCAATGACATTGCTTTCACCAATACGCGTCCTTTTTGACGTCAAAAAAAGCCTCGTCTGTAGAGGGCGCGAATTATAGAAATTATCTGTTGCTCACTTTTGGGGTGGAAATGCGTTGTAGATTTGATATAAATGTAACTCACTTAATCAATGTCGCTTTGTAGACATGGATTTAACTTAATTTTTAATTCTGTTTTCTCTGTAGACTTGGTCATGATCGCTGGACACGTTATGAGCAGAGTTTAGCTCCAAAGCGTGTCGCTCCGTGAGTCTGTACACAACATTATCTGTAGAATTTTAAAATCCCATAGAATAGACAAATTTCAATAGCGTGATTATTATAAAGTTGTAGTCTGCGATTATTTCTATAGCTTTATTGGGGTCCTGGGACTATTGTGTCACGTATTTGATGGTACTGGCATTGCGGGAAGTATGTGATTCATCCGGATTCAGCGTTGACTCGTCAGTTTCCCTGAATTATGGCAGTCTTAGCGAAATCAGGTGCATCGGCACACTGTTTAAAAACATTAGCATGTGAAGTGTTGACACACAATTAAAGAGAAGTCGCAAAGATTGCCTATATTCAGACGTCATGGAAATCATTGTAATAAGTTCATTTAGTACATATTTCCCTTATCAAATTCATATTATAGTCCCAAGTTCCCAATACAGCTGTATGCATGATTTCATAGTGTACCTTCAGAGATGCAATATGGACGAAAGCATGTATTATTTAATGCTGTTGTTTGCACGACCAGTTGAGGACCAAATTGGATTATGACTTATTGTAAACTAAAGCATCTGTATAGTATTCGTACGAAGAAAAATAAAATTCACTAACACACATGTACACTAAATAGTACTAGTATTGTACCTACCTGTAACAACGTTTTTAGTTTTTTTTTATAAATCACATTCAAATGCATTCAACAAATGGTGTAAAACAATGACATGCAAATATTACAATATTTTCGATCGTACTGAATCTTTTAGGTGGAATGGTAGTTAGCCATTTTATACGAATGTTCTCCTAAACCTTAATTACAGATTGTACCAATTAGATATCAGTCATTTGGTAAAGCATGTGTGGTGCTTTTAATTATTTTTTCCATTATATTCAAACCGGCGGCCATTTATGAAACGTTTTGTAAAATTCGGAAGAGACTTTGGTTTGAAATGTTTTTTTGTCAAAAGTTCTTTTGACAAATTCAGAAATTCTTTTGCCGACTTATTACTTACTACTACCATCCCCTATCTTCGTTTCTATGACTCCATTTTCTTTTATAGTCCTATTCCTCCGAGATTGTTGCTATTTTATTCATTTCCAGTTTCTACTGCGTGAAACACTACAAATGTCCTCATTTCAATTAAGACTCATAGTCCCATGAGTTTAAATATTAAAGCGTAGATCACTTGATAGGCAAGATATTATCTCCTAAAACCATTTCGCTAAGACCACGCATTTTAGATGAAAAGTTGAGTGTATAGATCTTAAAAAAGGTCAGTAAACAGACCACCTGAAGGTGTACCAAACAGATCTCCTTCTCCTCACAATATAAGCATATATATACTAAATTTCAAATTGTGAAATTGTCAAATGGTAAATCCCACAAGAAAAAAAAACATAAAAAAAACATGTTGTATGATTTTGTTTTATGTATTATGTGTAATACCTAGCTTCAGGAAACCGCACATGTGTGAGTACTTCAACATGAAGTAGAGGTATGCCTATCAGGCAAATTTAATACCAAGAACCTTGACCACCGTGACCCCATCCGGATCTATTTTACTACTACCTCATGTTCTATAATGTAGGTCATGGCCTATTTATATAGATTTCGTTGTTATGTGTGTTTGGACAATGCAATGATGAAATAAATTATTAAAATATACTAATCACCACGATAATTATTTTTCTTTTCAATATTTCAAAACTATTAATTTTTTTTGGTGAATAATTGGAGCGACTCAGTAGTTGAAATGTAGACAGAAATTGTTTTAATTGATGAGTAATAAGTTAAAAGTTCCAGAATCCAGCATGAGCTGCCTTTAATATCTTATCCTTCTAAAACAAATGGTCTTCATTTTTATTGAACTTTTTTATTTTACAAGTTAGTATATATAACGTATACTATGATTGGTTACAAAGGATTGGTGATGAATGTTGTTGATTTGTTCACATCCGGGTATCTATACACCCACTCATTTACCTACGAGTATTACTCACACGTTTTTACTAATTTCAAAAGACCAATAAAAAATCTAAATCAAACTATATCGCTATTTTTGTTATTATATCCTCCATTATACGTCACAGTTGTAAATCTGGATTGAATATTCATTCATGCATATCGTGAATAATTAACACATCGAAATTTGCATGTAGCTGACTTTCGTGACTGTTTGTTGGCAATTCTTTGGGTGTAATATAAATAAATTTTGCTCATAAAGAAACATATGTATACAATTATCATATGAGCAACTGTGGTATCCACCGTGTCATTTTCAGCTTTCCAGAATTCCATTCGCGTCACTCCCATTCTGAATAATAGCGTGGCAGAGGCTTGCCTCCAAATATGACATCCTATATTTACGTAGTTACGCGCTCCAAAAGACATGGATACATTTTCTCGCAATACCACGCGCGATCGCCTGTGTTAACAGCAGAAACACCTCTAAATATACCGTACTTTGTTCAATATGAATGGTATAGCCCAAAACCTGGTGCGAGAAAATAGAATCATAAATAGACATTGACAATGAATACAAAGTACAACTGTATACAGTGGATTTGGTGAGGTTACCATGGCGCCAAGTTTACTTCATACTAATTCAAATAAGAGGTAAATAACACCGAAATCAATTAATATTGTGATAAGAACTTGCTCCTTCTCAGACCCGGAAGTATAAATGTTAATATGAGATGACCTTCATAGTTGCAATAAAACACTGACATTAATTAATATTTTAGTATTTGAGTTTAAATATGATTATAAATCTAATAACGTTGTAATAAAGATTCCATATGTCGGTAGAAAGGGAGAATGATTCACAGTAATTTGATTTGATTTGATTCCGCTAAAAAAATCAACATACGAAACACTGCGCATGCTATTTGACTAAATTGTACGTACAATTTTACCTCCCATCATGATATCGTATTGTCGTATGAAGTCATTTACATCCTGTACCTATCTACAGTGAGCAAAATTGCCGAACATTACCGAGCATTCCCGAAGATTGGTTTGTACTTTGAGTTGAAGGAGTTCCCGCTGGAGTGCACGATGTCAATTCTACGCCAATAGGCAGGGACATTAGTTACACATATTAGTTGGTTTTATCGATAAGCCGAAGCAAAACTCTAATACATTATAAATGTAGGTTGTCCAGGCAGAAAACAAACTTTTCAAATTCATAAACTTAAGTTATCATATGTTGAATAATCCCCCAAAAATGTGTGATAATACATAATACATATGGTACTACTATAACTCATAAGTACGTGCTCATATGGCCAGTTCGTTATTGAACGAATACTATTTTTGTAACGCCAAAACAACAAGCCTTGTTCATACTAATTGTAATTAGCTTTGTATTTGATTGAACAATTTCTCAAGAATAGAGTGGACGTTAGGAAGAGGTGTGAACGAGTCTTGGGAATCTATTGGGTAGTTTTGCTACATCGATACTTGTTATGCAAATTTTACTATCCAATTGTCACCCAAATAGTGTCAAGAGCGCTTGATTCAAAACTGTTTCAATTGCGAATTGTCTTTGGTAGAGCGTGCCTGTTCCCATGTACTCCAGTGAGTGACTCGTACAAATACATCCCGTACTAGAAAAAAATCCAAAAATGATGCAGGAATTAGTATTCTGTTTAGTATGTATAGCAAGTTTTGTTTGTGCAGAAAATGGTAAGTTCATATTTAGAAACTTTCTTAATTTTCAGATCCATTTTTACGTCTTGTAATCCCATTAAGGCGATGTAGACATGTGACGTTTTGCCGTTATTCCAGAGAGACGTAATTTAAGTGCGTTACATTTCGCAATGCTTCCTTGGCGCACAGTCCCTCTATCATAGAGGGATTGTGGTTGGCGTCACCGTGTTGAATGAACACTGATCTATTTATTCAAATCCCTTGAAATGATTAACGGATATACTATGACACAAATTTTTGTTTATTCTTGGTCAAGCAACGCATTGTTTATTCATACTGGGATATAAATTATCAAATGTATTACTGGACCAGCGGGATAAAAAAAATGTTCCCCTTCTCGGGTTGTTTTGAGAAAAATGCATGAATATATCTGAATTGATGAATACAAACAGCCTAATAAAAAAAAAACGTTTTACACTTGCTCAATACATTGACATTGGTATGTGAAGCTAGGGAATCATGCCACATTGTTCAGTTTGGGGTTTTATTTGTTGGCACGTTGTTCAGTTTGGGGTTTTATTTGTTGGCACGTTGTTCAGTTTGGGATTTTATTTGTTGGCACGTTGTTCAGTTTGGGGTTTTATTTGTTGGCACGTTGTTCAGTTTGGGGTTTTATTTGTTGGCACGTTGTTCAGTTTGGGGTTTTATTTGTTGGCACGTTGTATTCATTTGAATATGCATAAAACTGTAAATGCATTAGTTTTCACTACTGTAAAATGACTAATTTTCACTGGGTTTAAATTTCACTGATTTACCATTTCAGGCATATTCAGTGGGTTTTAAATTCACGGTTTCGTCATTTAGATAATGTGTTCTATGCTAAATTTTACATATTCACTGTGTTTTAATTTAGCGCATTTTTCCAGTCAGCGAAATAAGCTAAATTAAAACACAGTGAATAATTACCCCCTTTACAGTATGTTTTAATTACGTCATTTCCGCGTAAAATTCTTTGAATTCAATTCATGTGAGCATGGTGTTACAGCAAAACTCAACGTTTAACTCGCAAATTTACAAATAACCCATGAAATAGCATGAGCGCTCAAAATAGTGAAATTAATAAATATTTGATTTTCTTGTTGTTGTTTATACTGTTCCGCAAACTCGCATGTCTGCCTTAGAGACAAAGCGATGTTCGACTTATAAACCATAGTCCTTTCTCAGGTTAATTTTTCTCTTCTTTCCTTCTTTCCCAGAATGCAGTAGTAATCCCTGTCAAAATGGAGCTCAGTGTGTTGATGGCATGGGAGTGAATGACTATACGTGTCAATGTCCTGACACATATTATGGAAAGCAGTGCGAAATCCTAGCAGGTTTGTAGTCACCACCACAAATACACCACATATGACGTCATGTTTCTCGGTATTGTCCCATTTAGATCCCAATCTATGCAATCATTTCGTACTTTTATCAGGGGGAAATCTCTTCTCCCCGGGGTTCTCCACTCTGTCGGGGGGAATCTCGTCTCGTCTCTCTATCTCGTCCCCTTGAGGTACGGGATCGGGAAAGTCACTTTAACTTTACAGTCAAATAAGGCACACACAACGAAATACGTTTCAGCTCTCGTCTTAGTCGGTCAATCGAGCACTCTATCAGAGACAGCGCCCTGGGGAAAAGTCCCCAAGACTATCCAAGGCTGACCCAAGACTCTCTTAGACTGCGTCAAGGCTCGCCCCAAGTCTCTCCAGGACTGCCTCTGTCGTGGAGTATCCGCCAAGACCAACTCAAACTCTCTTTATTCATTTTCAAAACTCTGACCAATTACAAAGCAGTAAAAAGACTCTAGGGCGTAACCTTCAATCATAAAGCCAATCACACTAAGTACTGAATACGTCATATCTTTTGATTAATCGTTCACTACATTAATAACTATGAATGTCAGAATAGCGACGGTATCTTGTAATTAGTTCCAAACCACTGAGCCAAGTTCCGTCCAAAACTTCAAATAGACCTACACGATGACAGACATAACACAGCAATTCGCTAATAATCAGTTAATTAAGTCGGTTAACAGATACGCAAAAACAAATTCATGACACTTTACAGAATGAGACAAAAGTCATTAGGCGTTTAAGTACCTCAATAAAATAACATTGTTTATACGGGTGTTCGACGTGTATTGTTCAAGATAGTTGATGAAGCTGGAGTAGAATAAAGCCTTTGTCGTACTAACGTTAGTACCTTCCATGTACCAATAAAACAGTCATGTACTAGTGTACACCCTTTCCTGTGAGACTATCGCTTGAGATCTAGAATCATAATCCCCTGTTGAGGGCGCCATGTACGTTTAGTTATTAAGAGGGTACGACCATTATTTGTGAATCGCAGTATACATGGATACATTTACTCTCGTTATTCATTTGTATACAGCTACCAACTGCGGCTATGGCTTCTACGCACCGTCGGGCACTATCGTGTCTCCTAGTTACCCGGACAACTACTCAAATAGGCTATTATGCGTGTACATACTACGAGTACATGCAGCCAATTACATACAACTCAATTTTACGGATTTTATGACTGAAGAATTCAAGGACGTATTAGAGTACGGTACAGGATATGAAGCCGATTATACTAAAGCTACTGGGAGCTACATGGGAAGTTTAACTGATCGTGGTGCACTACCTGAACCGATCACTGTATATAATAGCAGTATGTGGCTTGTGTTTTCGTCTGATCGTAATATTGGAATGAGAGGATTTCGTCTAGACTACACTTCAGGTAAGAAACAACTAATTTAGTATGATATGGCTACTAAATATACGCCAGCAATGTAGTTACATGACGAATTCAATTTTTGCGCCTATTTGACATATAAACTGCATTGTTGAAAAATAATTCCGTCGATTCGGTAAACTATAATCATTGAAACTAAAATCTAATGATGTATTTAACAATCAGAACATCGAGTTTAAATGACAGTATATGACTTTTGCAAAATGTCTTAGACAAGATGAAAGAGTTTCACAACTAACGGCGGGCTGTCAGATATTTCAATGAATGCAGTACAACTGTGGCGTAAATGGGTGAATAGAATTTCGTTCAATATTGTCATGACTTGTGGTTGTCCGCCAATAAAAATGATGTTTTGGGGATATTTATTATATTAAAATGATAAATTACGAAATAACCAAGCAAAGCTATAGCATATTCTTCGAACAACACTACTGTAACCCATCTACGTCACAAAAGCATTGTGTCGCTAGAGGGCGCAAGCTACTAGTATTGGTTTAATTTAATTACTGTACTGCTATTGTGGTGAGATACAGGGGTAAACCAATTATAATCCTGGGATTTAGATGATCGAGTGTAGGGTATTTGGCCAAGGCGTGATGTATCTTTGTTTTTCATTTTGCAAAATATCTGCTATATATAATTGTGGAAGGTTTTTTAAAACGTGAGTTTAAAAACTATCTAAGTGAAACGTTCAGTTTCAAACACATCGCCTGGATTTTAGATAACAAATGTTATGTGGCTTTTGTTATATTAATCAGCTAAGGTTAAAGCGGAGGGATCGTCGCCTGCGCACGCGCGGGAATTGAGTCCCAAGCGACGATAACAACGCACGCTGAAAACGCATAGGCTCATGGGTAGACACGTGTTTGTAAACAGCGACACGTTATACCATATTCCGTATACCACTTGCCTATTATGGACATTTCACAGAGATGTATGAAGAGATGTTTAACATGCTGTCATTTATATGATAGAAAATGATTTCGTACAGTAACAGTTTTGTTAGTAATCTGATGTAAGATCAATTTATTCAAATGACGCCATTTTCATTACAGATGGTGACGATTGTTGGGATTCCCCTTGTCAAAATGACGGTACTTGCGTTGATGGTATCAACGAATACAGCTGCATATGTGCGATTGGTTTTGAAGGGAATAACTGTCAAACAAGTAAGATTTCAAAACATGTTTTAATATTATTAAATTCATTTCATATTTCATAATATAGCAATTCTTAGAAAATAACATTCTCAAATTGATTGACTGGCAAAGCATTGTCAACGCCGTGTGGCGGCCTCTCTTTGTAAGGACAATACACGTTGCCAGTAAAAGTGTAGTTTCGCTATATGCCCCTTGTATCATTTATAGAAGTGACTCGTACAGAAATTGTACCAGACAATAACTCGACAATTGCTAGAAAATTATTGAACAATAAGTGACAATTACATCTGATATTTTAAATGTAAGACAAGTTTTGAACGTCATGGCAACCTTGTGAGAGGAGAAGGTGACTTCATTTAACTTAATCTTTATTGTGTCTAGATACGGATGATTGTATAGGCAATCATTGTCAGAATGGAGCCGTATGTGTCGATGGACAGAATGAGTACACATGTACCTGTCCAGAGGGGTATGCTGGATTGCTATGTGAAACTGGTATGTAATATTTATAGTTTTTCGCTCTGTATAAGTAATCGCTCTTCAAGCGTGAGTGGATGTGCTTAGCCATACCCTTATTCGTGCCTATTTTCATAATTTATGGTCCTTTTCCTGTGAGCGACTTTTCATGTCTGTTGGATTTCGGCAGAAAAAAATAACAAAAAGTTCAAACGTCGCATGAAAAGTGCCACAACTATGTCGTGATGTGATGTACTAGTATATTGACTGAGTGACACGCTGGAAATGCGTGTCTGGTGTGCGCGGTGGAACCAATCAAGAAGCACAATGCGCAAGCCGTCATTTAAAAATATTTCAATGTCATTGCATCGGCTAATAGAAATCTCTCATTTCAGTTTCAATTGAGAAGTTTATAAATATTTATGACAATTAAGGAATGGGTTTGTTGGGTACTACTCAGGCTGTAGTTAGTCTCATTTTATTATGCAACAAGGAGAACAAATGCTGTCCGTGTGAGCAATATTATTTGATTAAAACTCATTTTTAGTCATACTAGTTTTAAAACATGTCGTAATGTGTAAGTCTTTCAGTGATTTGTTATGGTCGTATTAATTCCGAGTACGGTCATCGATGGCATTTAGACTATGGTTGTCCACGTATAGAGAAAAGAAACAAGCGAATAAAAAACGATTAGAAATCAAGTGCTATTTGAATACCAAGTGAAAAGTTCAGTGTTCTACAGATGATAAGTAGCTTTATGTGGCGGCACGTTTGAGAAAAACGAAAGAAAATACTTTAACAGAACTACTTTAGGGTGGCGCTGTATTGCTAAGTTTGAAAGTTCAAGATGGCAGCGCTCATGGCAGGAGTTGGACCCGGAGTTGGATCTGCTCAGTGTCAGCTAGTCAAGTGCGTGAACGTCAAAACAGTGTAAACTGGGAACCAGTTTAATGTCATTATTTCACAGACCCTATGTTGAAATCTAGCCATAATGGCGGATGTAAACTGGTTACTCGTTGCTCAGCGCTTCACGTACACTTCACTTCACCCTGGGGTCACTAGACATACTACATATAACAAACATAAACAATGTTTTAAAATGGGAACCATTTTTGACATTTTCAAGGCAATTCTCCGGAATCAAAGCTGTGTTGAAATACTAGTAATTTGTTATATGTGAAAATGTAAATTTAATATTCCCGGCCTGATACTGCAAACCCCAGAAAATAAATACTGTTCCACGGATAGAAAGTTCATATTTGATTCAACTGTAAGCATGACACATTATTAATTGTTTTCAGACATCAATGAATGTGGCAGTAATCCATGTCAGAATGCAGTACAGTGTGTGGATAACGTCAATGGATATATATGTGTTTGCTTACCTGGCTTCACAGGAATTCACTGCCAATCAGGTATGTTTAAGGTGCTTTGTCATTATTGTGACCTATTGAATAGGGTGAAAATTTTCTCACAATTTTGTTTTAAAAGTACTATTCAGATTTGGATGACTAAGTATGTTATCGCCTTTTGAGATTTTTTACCGGTGCAAATCATGGTTATAGGTATTACGTCATGAAAAATAAAAAGTAGTTCTCAGATTCTTCTAACAATTCAGAATTAACAATCATAACAACATACTATTTTTTCACTTAATGTCACCGAACGATATTTTCAGGTAGAAGAACCAATGTTAAATGCCTCAAACATGTTTTTTAGCCATTTTTTACACAAAAAGGGGTTCTGTGAGCACACGTTTTCGTGTGAATTTTGTGAACAACAACATAAATAAAAACATAGTGTAAAAAACATAGAAATCTGGATCAAGCAGATGATAATATTCAAAACAAATTCTGGTAACAATAGCAGTAAAGATGGGTTTCTCACTTTTTCTATAGATATCCTAGAGTGTGCTAGTACACCATGTCAGAATGGTGCAAGATGTCTGGAAGGAACCAACAGATTCTATTGCCTATGTGAACCAGGATATCTTGGTGAACTCTGTCAAACAGGTAAAATATTATTGGCTCTATTCGGAAAAATGTAATGACACAACTACAATTATCATTAGACTGGTGAATTCAATTGTGTTTTGAGGGGGTTATAATTATTTGATATAATTATTTGATATAATTATTTGAAATGTTAAAAAGAAAATTATCGGAAAATAACAGCAGTAATGCTTGGATGGTTGTTTTATTTAAAGTAAAATATTGATCATTTAATTTCATATATAAAATCCCAATTGAGGGACCCTGATTATTGAGATAATTTGGAGGAATACTGGTATATTAAAATTTAGTAACTATAAAATGTGAGTGGTCTCATTGTACCAGCTTCAAAAGTATATGGTAATACACTAGAGTCAAACAAACTAATGTTTTTGCTGTTTTCATAAGAAATCAGTCTCATTCAAAGAAGAAGGATGATTGGATTAATTTGGCCACAGTCCTGGCCAGTTGATGGACTGTGGTTAGGCTGACACCACTCTCCATTCCATTAATCACTCACAAGTCAATCAGACCACTGATAACAATTTGTTGATTGGTCAAATCTTTCAATCCAACACCAAATCTGTGACGTCACATTATGAACTCATATAGTATGTAACTTTTATTTGGGTTTATAAATATTTAGGTTTTTAAATACGTACATGGCTTTGTTGACTTCAATATTCAATCCATAAACTGACAGGATTTTCTAGAAAAAAAATGCAATAGGGAGCACCGCAATTCGGGGGCGCCGCCAAATTGGGGAGATAGTGTTCTCCCTACCAAGGTGTGGAGTTAAAATGGAGCATTCTATGGCTTCCTTGGGGCCAAAATTACTATCAGACAGGTCACAGTTGAAGACTGTGGCCACATGTGATCCCTGGACATTCAGAATTTTATGGTTGCCAGAATCTGCTCTCTAGGGTAAGGGGGCACATGGCCATGGCATGAGGGCGCTGCGGTTATATAATTATTAATATAATTATTATAATTATTATTCATTGTGGTTATCTTATTTCAGATATAAATGAATGTGATTCAAATCCCTGTCAGAATGGACAGTGTACAGACATTGTTAACTCTTACATATGTGACTGTGTTCAAGGCTGGTCTGGGATTAATTGTGAGCTTAGTAAGTATTGCTAAATTTGATATTCCATTTTCCTGCCTGTTCTGTGTTAGTGTTTTATATGCTGTATACCTTAGCAATATTTTAAATAACATTTGTCTCCATCTTATCTTTAGACAATGATGAGTGTGCTAGTTCCCCATGTTTGAATGGTTTCTGTGAGGATGGTATCAACTCGTTTTCTTGTGCATGTCACCCTGGATGGGTAGGGTATAACTGTGAAAAAAGTAAGTAAATTATTACTATTATTCATAATATGTTTATTACCAGATTACGTACAAGATTATATTTTCTGTGAAATTGTTTTCAAGTCGCTTTCCCCTTCTATATATGAATACTGCTTTT